GAGCGGATGAGCCAAGCCGAATGACTCGAGAATCTAGCATTTCACGCCTGCTCTTTCGGCTTTATCCCCACATCGGGTTGATGGTCATTCCCTTTGCTCTGTCGGTAACGACCCTAAACCCTAAACCCTAAATTGTTGAATAGCACCTCCCCAAGCTCCCAGCCCCAAAGCCCCGCCCTTTTCTCATGATTTGCGCGGCCCCTAGCTGTTGGCCACAAGCTAGCGGAAGCCTCAACCATAGGGCGTAGGGTTTAGAGTCTAAACCCCCCATCCCTTACAGTAGCCTAATTGAGCCCGAAAGCCTCAACCCCGAGCCTTAAACCCTAAATGCTAAGCCCACCAGCTTAGGGGTGTAAGGTTTGGGCTTAGGGTCTAGGGTTTAGGGTTTAAGGTTTTGGATTTTGAGGTTTAGGGTTTAAGGTTTTGGATTTTGGGGTATAGGGTTTAGGGCAGACAGGTGATCACACACTTCTCCATCGACCAACTCCCGGTGTTCAGCTGGACGGAGGCCAAGCCGGCTTTCACTGCAGCGGGCCGTCTGTTTTTGGGTGTTTTGACTTTATTAGATAAATTCCAAAACGACTGCAGTTTGATAAAGTACAATAATATACTATAATGTGATTTGCTATGATATTTGGGCGGGGGGGCTTTAGACTTCAGTTAACATACTATACTACCATATGCTATGATACACTATCGTATACCAAACTGTCAAGTACTATGATATCTGATATATTGCATACTACTGGAGCATATACTTTGGGTCTCAACTATACCCGGATAGCCCAATATCCCCCAAAATTCCGAAAGCCTGCCGTAAGGTTGACCGAGAATCTTACTACGGCTTGAGCAATATTCCCTCATCAGGGTTTAGGGTTTAGGGTTTAGGGTTAAGGGCAGGGGTGTTTGGGCTTCCTGGGTGCTAAATCCAAACTCCAATCCCTAAACCCTAAACCCTAAACCCTAAACCCTAAACCCTACCTCGGCCGTGGCTGCTGGGTGTCTGCTACTTTGGGTTTAGGGTTTAGGGCTTAGGGTTAAGAGTTTTGCAAACACTTCAAACCGCACAGCCCTTCGAGCGTGGCACACTCAAAGTCTTAAGCCAGAATGAAGCCACCACCTTACACTCCAAACGCTGATCACCAAAAACAACGCAACGTCACAAAGAGCCTGCAAGACACATCCCCAAAACTCTGCCAAGCCCCTCAACGCCAACACCTTAAACAAACACCCTGAAAGAGCCCTTTTGAGCCGTCTAGGCTCAATGTAGGCTCTTGACACACAACGAAGCCGCTGCAACTTCCCACGCCAGGAGACCCTACAAATCCCTTGCAAGACCCTGTGAGACCCTGTACTACTTAAAGGATCTTAAAGGATCATGGGACTTTGTAAGTAGGGTTATAATTAAGGTAACTGTACTTATAAGTAATTATAACCCCAATTAAGGTATTTATATCTCTACTTACTAAGCCCCGAGATCCTCCAAGTACTCTGTCACCCTCTTTGTCGTGAGCACACCAAACCCTCAACCCTAAACCCAAGCCCCCAAACTAAACCCCTACAACGCCCTGATTGAACACCCAAAACCCAAGAAGCAAAAAACAACCCCTAAACCCTAAGCCCCAAACCCCAAACCACCACAGAAAAAAGTGAAAGCTGCATACTTAAAGGATCATGGGACTGAGTAAGTAGGGTTATAATTATGGTAACTATACTTATAACCTGAGGGACTCATAACCTTACTTACTAAGTCCCATGATCCTTCCAGTAGCTATGTGGGACCCTAATTCAGAGAACTACCCTTATAGGAACCTCTTATAATACCCTTGTAGAAACCCTACTTACTAAGTCCCATGACCCTTTAAGTACTTGAGGAGAACCTCCAGCTGCAATCGAGCTGTTTTGGAGCCGACCTCAGAGCAACAACACATTCCCGGAAGCTGGTTGAACCCGGGGAATTTGAGGGTTTTAGGGCTTCAGGGTTTTACGGTTTAGGGTCTAGGGTGTTGGGGATTTTTAGGGTTGTCAGAGTTTTTTGAGGTTGTTTTCTGGGGGTTTGCGGTTTTGGGTTTTGGACGCCAGGCTTTACGGTTCAGGATCTATATACTCTACACCCGAAACCCCCTAAAGCCTAAGCCCTATAGAGACCATAGGTTCCTCCAGAGACGACTAGACAGCTGTTGAAGGATGTTGATGAGGGCTCTTGTCGGGCTCAAGCTTTATAGCTTGATGGTTGGTCTATGATGTATGGGGCATTGTTGAACTGTCGAGGTTTGGGGTCCGGTTTAGGGTTGCATATGGTGCCAGGTTGAGGGTTCCCTAACCCAAAACCCGATTGAAACACATCGTAGCCTTGATCCTTTACATGAAGGCGGCGAGACAAGGCTTTGGTGGGGTGCAGAGCCGTTGGATTTGCGACAGAAGCACAGTTTGTGGGTGTCCGGTTTTTGGGTTTTGGGCTTAGGGCGCCAGCCGACCTTTGCATTCATTTCGAGCTTTGCATGGTATGGGGTTTATTCTACGAGTCTCTTCTTGGGGTTCATCGGACTGAGTCTATTTAGAGTAACAAACCATAAGCCGTGAGCCCTAAACCCTAAACTCCCTCAACCCTTAAACCCTGAGCCCGAATGCGCATCCCCGAGAAGTGCACGGCTGACAAGTGTGGTGTGGCCGAGTTTGCCTGCACCGCAAAACGACTTATGACGTCTGCGAAAGATCGACGAGAACCACAAGCTAGGAGGCACCACCTACTGCGGTTCTGTGCACAGGGAACAGCGCTGCCTGTCAAGAGCTCGTCAACCGTGTGAAGACAGTTTCGAAGCGCAAATCCAAGGTGTTTCGTGTTCTATGCATCAGTGAGTCCACAGCGGCAGGGCGAACATCCACGAGTCAAGCTGTGTATTCCGGAGCCACTATTCGTGGAGCTCGGGTGATTTAGTCGAGTCAGTAAGTCGTAAGTCGTTCGTGCAAAATGGGTCAAAGCTAGACTTACTAAAGGGATGGCCGTAGCACTCAAGGAACGCTTACTAGCTGGCTCCCAAGCCTCAGCCACAACCGTCAAGCCTGGAGCCCTGCACTCTCTGGACCCCAAACCCTAAACCGTGCCCATCCATGCTTGGAGGATCATGGGACTTAGTAAGTAAAGTATAGCTATCTTAATTAACCCTACTTACTAAGTCCCATGATCCTCCAAGTGGTCGCCAAAGGGGAAGACAACTGCGATGAGACGGTGCAGACCTTTACCTATCCCTGGCCACAGCAGGCCAGCTGGGAAAGGGCACAGTGAGACTAAAACCTGGGTGCTCAACCTTCAACCAGTCAGGGTAGAGAACGAAGTCCTCGTCGCCATCGTCGTCCTCCTCCTCCGTATTATTCTTATTGTTATGATCCCTAACCCTTCAGGTACCTACTATATAGTGTACTAGAGCCCCCTAGGGCCCTATATAGTAGGTACCTGGGGGCTTAGGGGATCATCATGATCATTATTTTCATTATTATGACTAGTAGTCTATTAGTCCTAAACCCTAAACCCTAA